AGAAAACTGATTAAAAACTAGTTCACATCCTAAATTTTACGGTAATATTGTACTTAAAGCGCGGAAATCCCTATGTGAGCCGTGTAAACTCATCGAACCTTTAAACAAACTTATTAGTAAAGGTTATTTTACCAATGTTGTAATTAGATCTTTGAATATAGTTTACATTGGCACTAATATCGATTTTGTCATCAGCAAATTAAAACATAACTAAATTTTTATTCTTTTCAAACGGGATGTATAAAGACACACCCACGTCCATTTTAATCTATAAAGAGGTGAACTCCTAACTAGCCTACTGCCTTTTGATACATTTATTTTTGGCATTGCACAAGTCATGTCTTCTTTGACTGTCCATGACGTTAAAATACTAAATCCCTGGGATGTGTTTTAGTTGATGTTAGTCTCTGATGCATGATTTTTTGTTATTAATTGTTTTTGGCTTTTAACTAGCTGTCAGTAACTGCGAGTACTCTCAAATCGTACTTTCTTGTTTATGACCTGTTAATACTAATTGTAATGCTTTTTTGTTATTTAATGTTATTCAGGGTTATATCTGGTCTATATACTAACTTTGTATTGATTGGTATTACTATAAATTTTCACTTCGTCGTACTATGAACATCACAATTATTTATTTTGTAAAAATATTTCCTTTCTCTATCTGAACTATACACGTATACCTAACAACAAAATTATTCTTATTTACCTGTGTTCAAAGTAATTGCAAATGGCTGATATTTTTGTTCAAGTATATTGTTTTTCTTAAATTGTTTAACATTTCACAGCGGTATAAAATGATACTCTAATTATTCTTCCCTTAGTTTATTTATTTTGTATTTGCATTGTATCATAGATCAAATTTATTTGTTCAGTGTATGTTCACCGGTGTTAATATGTCTTTTGATTGAGTTAAGCCATTTCAATTGATATTTTATAGTGTGTTTTTCTATGTTGTGATGTTACACTATTGTTTCAGATAAGGGTGAAGTTTTGGTACCATTAAAACGTTTAAACCCGCTGCAATTGTTTGCACCTGTCCTAAGTCAGGAATCTGATGTTCAGTAGTTGTCGTTTGTTGATGTGGTTCATAGGTGTTTCTCGTTTCTCGTTTTTTATATAGATTAGACCGTTGGTTTTCCCGTTTGAATGGTTTTACACTAGTAATTTTTGGGGCCCTTTATAGCTTGCTGTTCGATGTGAGCCAAGGCTCTGTGTTGAAAAACCGTACTTTGACCTATAATGGTTTACTTTTATAAATTTTGACTTGGATGGAGGGTTGTCTCATTGGCACTCATACCACATCTTCTTATATCTACTTGTGCAGGTCATTGATTGTGTGCGTCTTGTGTATTATGTTTTTAGTAATTGTAAAATGTCTTCGATAAAACCAAAGACGACATTCATTTTCTATCCCTTCCAAATAAACCTGATTCAAAAAGTATAGTTCATTTTATAATCATATTCCAGATATACAGGTACCAGTTATCATAGTAATCAATCATCGTTTTGTATCATGACATGCGTATGGCTAACAATCTCTTGACTGTTGGATCTTTCGGAAAAAAATGACTAGAGATCATGGATGAATTAGCTTGATTGTTCCGTTTTCAGAAGTACAATTAAACCCTCATTGTTTTAAAAAAAAAGTTGGTTTTAATACAGCTATGTTATAATTTGACGAAAGTTTCGTATGCTTGACAAATCAAACGTACGAATCGTTTTACAGATCCGTCTTTATGACATATCTAAGTAATCTTAATCAAGGCTGTCATGGAACTTAGATGGCATTAGCGTCAATGTGTGCCCATCAAGGATCATTACACTGCATGCAAATACATATATCAACCTTGCATACGATGTAAAATATTATAACACCCAGTTGTAAGAGATAACTCAACAAAACTTACTCAGCCAGGACTCGCCAGAAGGAGACAAATACCATTTGTCATTTTGAAATGTGTTCAACTAACATCCCCCGCTCCCAAAATGATAACCCATACAGTCACATACTTTGATTCAGACAAGAATTCAGTTTTATCGTATTAAACATACTCATCATAGACCCCGTTCACACATAGACAAAGAAATTCATCTAAAATTGAAACTGAGCTAAATTGGTTTACTATCGATTAAATTCCAGTGCAAACGCTTTTAATCGACATTGTTTCAGTCTGAATTAAAACACCAAAAGAAGTTTTTTTAGATTGTATCGATCTAAAGTAAATCGATCTTACCTTAAATTAGAACGCATAAATCGATTTAAACTAGCACGATTGAATCAAAAATAACTTTTGGGCATGTGGCGAGGCGAAACTATACATGCAATTTATTTCAAAAACTGTAAGAAAAGCAGTATAAACATTTTAACTTGTAATTCAAATTAAACAATATTAGTAACTCCAATTCTTACAACGTATTGATGTTTTGCAACCATGAGCTTTCCAATTCTCCGCAAATTGATACATTAATTTGATTAAATATTTACAATTTCGAATTTAGATCGATTCAAGGTTCACTTTAGGTAAAATATGGCCTTGAATTTCAACTTTATCATAAAATTTCAAATATGCTATTATTTGGTCCTTTAATGGATACTTAAGGATTCAATACTTCGTCATTTTTATTGTGATTTGCCAAAATGAAGTTTTTCCGTGTTAATGATAATATTACAACTGTTTCTATGTGAAACTTGAAGTATCATGGACTGATTTAAAAACTCAACTAAATCTTAGGGCCAATTTAAACCTTCGTGAACTAACTCCTTTAGAAAGATTAATAACATGTGTAGCGTGAACGGGAACATAGATAACGGGATTAACATTTTGTACCATAGACACTTAGTTTTTTCGTGAGATTGTCATATATATTCTCCCTTTTCGTTCATTCGCACCTATCGACAAAATGTAAAACAGGTCTTAATCTTATTATACTTTACGGTCGTAATCACATTTACCATGTTTTACCTGTGTTAACGATCGTCATTCTATAATGATCTCAGTACGATTCGTGAATGTATCTACGCCTCAGTTTTTCAATAAGCAATTCACATATACACAATAAATATGTGTGGTCGTACATGCATACTATATTATCCAATCAAATACATCACTCAATCAAAAAACAGTTACTCCTATTCAGTAATTTATTTATTTCTGACTTAGATTAATAAATACATTATTTGCGCCTGTAGTAGGTTACGTATGTTCATTATTAGTATATTATCAAGGACATATCATAAGAAAAGTATTCGCGTATACTAGTATATGCAGTCATGAAACAGGTTAACCAAAAGCAATTCAGACGTGACGTTAAACCATTATACTGTTATGAAAATATACTATTCTCAAGTATAACCAATATTAAAAAGTAAAATAAAAAAAATATCGAACTCCGATGAAAATGCAAAACGGAAAGTCACTAATCAAATGGAAATAATAATCTATTTAGCCTCTTTTACACCATCCGAACTCGGATTACTCATTTATAAAAAGTAAAAGACGTGGGAGTAAGAGTTCTTCAAATGATTGATAGATTGTTGGTTGCTTTATGTCTAGAGACAGATGTTTCATGCATATTTAGATGGAGAACAAATTCACAATAAATACAATACGTAGGCCCTGTAAAAGAGGCCAACCAAGATGAAGGTCGGGAAAATTTAAACTGACACTGGTCAATGAGCATGGATAGGGACATAATTTTTTCCTTGTAACATATCAGATACTGACCCCTCAAATAGTTAATACAATGGTCTTTAACGTGCAAAGAGCGTGGCAATCTATCTGCTCAAATCGTAAGTACCCATGCTGACCGGAAGTGACTGCATACTGCATATGTGGTGTATGCACAGATTCAAACGGATGCCATACTTTGCAAGGGTTTGACTGTACTTCTATTCCCCAGTCATCCATGGGGGTATCTCCTCATGAGTCAATGGTTATGAAAAGAAAACTCTTACCACAAAACATATCTTTAATACTCTTAGCAGAAAATATACTATAGGTTTTTTGAATGATTTGTTTGTAGAAAAAAATGACTTATCGATTTGTGATATTGCATATATACTTCAGGTTTTACGCATGACCTATAGAAATTCAAACGGCAGCAAACAGTGTTTAATAGATAGTATTGGTACCCATTACAAGCACACAAAAATGGAATACTATTTAAACAACAATCATAGGAAGAATATTTATCTTCTATACTTGCATTCATGATAATCTCTTATTCAGTTAATGCAATATTGTCAAAACGGCATTTTAATAATGAAATAAAGTCAAGGCATCCCCTCTTAAAATAAAATTTAAAAAAGTACCCCCTTAGTTTATTTTGTCTCTTACTATATATATATATGCATTCATCACCTGTCATGCAAATGCATATTCAGTCAAAATGATTGTCACAATCAAGGGTGGAGCATAATCGCTAATATAGAAGATTAGACAACTTTACAGGTATCAGAAAATATAAAACGGCGAAAACATGTTGGTTGTTAATTGATAAACCGTATCGTTCAACCGATTGGTGATTGTGACCGTAAAAACGTATACAGTGTTAGTTTTCTTGCCTAAATTGTTACATATTAGCCATTTTGGTGGCTTTTATGTCGTTGCCTTTGCTTATTTTTGAAGTTCGTATGGTTACCTATAGTTATTGACTTCTCCATAATTAAATCTTTGATTCACTATGGAGAGTTGTCTCATTAGCAATCATACCACATCTTCTATTATTGTCTATCATTCTATTATAAAAAGGAAATAACTCCATATAGCTTTATAAACACTTGCCACCAATTATCATTTAACATATGTATTGCAGTTTACTGTTCATCAATTGTATCTGCCACTTTAAATATAAATCATGTTGTTGACTACAAGAGAAAAGATTTTTTACCATTTTTGTAAAGGAAGCAGGATATCTGGATTCGTTTGAGATTGTGATGTAAAATCAAATGAGAAATAAATTCATAAAAATTGCTCGATAACAGCAGAGAAAACACAAAACATTTATTGTTTATTCCTGGTATATATTCAAGACCAAGTCGCAGTAGCAAATATAAAATAAACTAGCTTCAAACGCTGACTTTCAAATGGACAAATATTAATTTTATCGAGGCAACCTAAAAGCATTTTAACCACAAATGGTGGATACACTCATTAAAAAATCAATTCAAATTTAGAAATTATTGTCAGTTTTAAAACGTTTTATTATTTTTGCTACCTGGTTTACAAAAAGTGATGCTAGATATAGAGGCGATAACATAAACTTTAATATTGTCACTAATAAAATAAAAAACTCAAAAATTACCTGGGTAAAATGAGAGATACTTTTACACATTGCCCATGCGTATCATCATGGTTGATGTTTTAATACTGTCATATGTTGCCTTCCAGTGATACCACGAAATTCCTGCTGCTTTTGTTCCTTTATATTGACCATTTAGGCTAGATTCATAACAGCTTCCATACCACCAACTTCCCTTATATGTTACTGCGCAGTTTCCTCTATTGTCATCCTTTGTACTGAATGTCCTACCATTATGATACCTCAGACTGTCACCTTGGTATGACAAAGAATAAACTGAACATTGTGAACAAATAAAGCAATGTCATTAGCTCCTTTTCATATGGAAAATCAAGCAAATTTGAGAGTTATTAAAATTTGTCAAGTGATAAATGACTGACAAATGTTTGAGCCGATAAATTTAGTTTATTTGTGATTCATATATATATATATATATATAACAACACTTTCCTTAATTTTTCTGTCACTATCAAACTTGGATTTCAAAGTTTGTTTTAAAGCTAAGATATTTTCTGATGTGTATTTTGATTTTCCGAAAAATGTATATATGTATTATTGTTTGTTTGTTGTTTTTATTTTATTTTACGGGGTGAGGGTTAGCGATACTTATATTTTTTTTTAGTTTTCTATGTTGTGTTTTGTGTACTGTTGTTTGTCTGTTTGTCTTTTTCTTTTTAGCCATGGCGTTGTCAGTTAATTTTTATTCTATGAGTTTGAATGTCTCTCTGGTATCTTTCGCCTCTCTTTTATAACAAAGGTAGAAGATTCAAAATGAGTAATAAAACTAGAGGCTCTAGAGACCCTTCGTAGCTCACCTAGATCAATCTGCATCTATAACAAAGGACATCCTTCATCATTCTGGCCTAGAAGTTTTGGAGGACATTATTTATATATAGTTGTTGTTTTTTTTTGGTATTGAATTAGCTCTCAGAGACTGCGAGTTCTCTTTTTTTTTTCTTTTGTTTTGTCTATTATGTAATGTATTTTGTTTAGTTCCGATCTGTTTAATTTAGCAAATTGCAACTTATTTTAACAGTTTTTTTCGGATGTTACACCACTGTCCCAGATTAAGGGTAGGATTGAGTGCTCACAAACATGTTTGTCGCCGCCAAATTATTTATGCGTCTGTCCCAAATCATGAACCTCTAGTTCAGTCGTTGTTGTTGGTTCATTATTGTCAACATTTGTTTTCGTAAATTTATTAACTAATCCGTTTTTTCTTGTTTCAACTGTTCCACATTTTTCATGTCAGGGCCTTTTATAGCCGACTATACAGTGTGGGTATTTCTCATTGTTGAAGGCCGTACGATAGTCTATTATTGTTTTTATCAACTTCATCTGAACTCTGATGGATAGTTTTCTAAATTTAAATCATACCAAATCTTTTTATGTTTTTCAATAGAATTCACGTTAAGCTAACTCACTCCTATTAAGAGACTTACTAACAATTTAGATAAAAATCTACTTTTATGTAGATCTTGTCTTGTTGATTATAACTGCTATTTAAAATGTCTATCTATTTATTATTCGTTACAAGATAAAAGGGGGAAACACTAAATGGGTAAACATCGTCAGCAAAGAGCAATTACTCTAATCAGTAGTCGACTGACACTTTCAGCCATGTCGATTTATTTGTAGATCTTATTTGCTTATCACTTTTGCTTATTTAAGTTTCTTTATATATCTATTACATTATTAAATTATTGGTCAAAAACACAAACATTGGTAAAAGTCTTTAGTAAGGGCAATAACTCTAATAAGGGGTCGTGGGACGATTTTGACAATTATATTTATCTGTCGATCTTTTCTTGTTGATCATTTTTTTTTAAATTTAGAGTTTATTTGTTATAATTTTCAAGATAATAGTCAAAACAAATTAAAAAATGTTAAATTCATTACTTAATGGAAATAACGTCTGTAAGAAGTCATCTGGCCGTTTCCATGTAAATAGACAAAAGGCATATCTCAATACTTTTTTCACATTTCTGTCGTTGCCAGATGTCTCTATTACTAGTGATTTTCAGGGTCATATGCAAAACATTTATTTTAGTAATTTTTAGTCTTGTTGGTCATATTCAAAGATCCTATTACAATATTAATAAGATAACCTTTACTAATAAGTTTGTCTAATGGTTTTACACGGATCACATTGTGATTTCCGCGCTTTTAGTACAATATTACCGTAAAATGTAGGATGTGAAATATCGTTTTTCTACAGGTACAGCCAAATTTACTCATCAAATATTTGTATCTATGAATGAATTTAGTAAAAGTTTAAGTAATTTATGGTATCGAAATCCCTGACTTAATAATTGACCATTCATGATGCATTGATCTCTTTTTAGATACACACAGAGATGTATACCTTGAAACCCTTATGATGTTAAACTGTAATACTTGTATTGAATATACTTTTTACTTGATACTTAGATTTATATGTATACGGACAAGTTATTGCAGTTGCTAGAATCTTCTGTGACTTCATGTTATTTTTCAAATTGATTGATTTTTTTACCTATAATAACATTTACAAATGTAATGTGTAATTCAATGCATTACTTTGCAAAAGTAATTGTAATATAATGCATTTCTTTGATAAATGCATGTAATTGTAATTGTAATTTAATGCATGGTTTTGTCAAAGTAATTGTAATATAATGCATTACATTGCAATGCAATTTGCCCCAGGCCTGATTTATACACCCCTACCTATCAAATGTTAAGATTTTAATTGACCCAATTGACACTGAATTACTATTTAACGGCTCAAATATGATTTAATGCACTTTTATGCATCTGATCAACTAAAAACTATTATCTGATCGGTTGTCAGGGGGAATTTTTGAAAGTTCAAAAATATTAAAAAAAAATTATAACTAAATATTTCGTGGAAGGGCGGACTAAACATATTCAGAAGTTGAAGACTAATTATCCTAGATAACACACACAAAAATGAAGTTTTTTTTTTAAATATGCATTTTTAAGATCCAACTGGAAAGTCTGTCGTCAAGTACTTTTAGTAAAAATCTTTATTCGAACACCCCTAGTCTGCTGTTATGACTCACTAGAAAGGAATATCACTTGACCCAAATAATTCATTTTTTAGTATTGTAAATATTTTATGTTATTATATCAACCTACAGCCTAAAAATATAAAAACAATAGAATTTGAAGCGAGGTGTTGTGTGAAATATTTTTCTTTTATACGTTTTCAAGTCATAATAGTCACCTCAAACACGCCTAAACAAAAAAGGTGTACTCGACTTTCTCTTTTTGATGAAATTATTGCCAAATGTTTTCAGAAAAACTGTCGCTGGGGGCAGAGATGCAAATTATTGCTTTAAAAGGGTCCTTTGTTATTTTCCTTTGGAGTTTTTTTCGGCAGAATTCATGCTTATGCATAAAAAAAAGTTCAACTGTATTTGCACCTACCACAATCGACTGATTTGTGAAAATTTGTCTATTATTTAAAAGTTGATAAATATCTCGAAGCTCAATACTATAATTCATGCAAAAACACGTATGTTAAATGCATAAAATCCTAAATTATGCACCTTTATTAACTTTTAAAGCCCATAGAAACAGATGTAAACAATTAAAATATACCAATTTTTCTTTTATAGCTTCTCTAACAAAGACTTCCATTTCTTTAGTTTGATTTCAACTGGGTTTTCGCCTGTAATCACTACAAACCAGTATAAGTCTGAAATGTCCTATATCTGTACTATACTGTACTGATTTTTACTCGACCAGTCTGAATTGGTCTGAAATTTACTTGATAATACTTGACTGTAGTCTGAACTATACTTAATAGTCTGAACTTGTACTCGACTTTTACTCGACCAGTACTTAACCATTGTAAAGGCGTCTGAACCATGCTCGACCTAGTCTGAACCATACTCGACATAGGCAGAACGATACTCAACCTAGCCTAAACCATACTCGACCTAGTCTGAACCATACTCGACCAAGTCGTAACCAACCTAGACCTATTTAATGTATTCATCTATTGTATTTCGTCAATTTTGGAACTTTTTTTAAAAATAGCTTTTCTCCCTGGCTAGACATTAGAACAACAATTTGAAATTAAAAATGTATTCAATTTAGCATTTATACCAAAATTTCACAATAAGCATAACATAACTTCAACACCATATTTATCAACACTTACATAATATATATATCACCTTCAAAATAAAAAAAAAACAAGCTGATCGAATTATCTCAAAACTGAAAAGTGAATTATATTTTCAATGTTATTCAAAATTGTTCGAATGTTTAAGATATATTTTATGGTTACTAGACAATTTTCATCATTTAAACTTAAGCCTAGTATATATTTATGGTGTCATTAAAATATATATAGAATAGTATATAAAGCAACTTTATAAATTCAAAAAATGACACCTTTGTTTTGTAAAACCAAGAATTGAATATAATCATGATAATAAAACTTCCATGGCAATCCTTGATAAACTTTTAAAAAAGGAAATGTGTTCCAAAGTTGAACTAAAAATTTCTTTATATCAATTAAATCTAAACAATTTTTGTCAAAATTAAAGACATGGCATACAAGAAGCACTTTAATAAGATTTTGATCAATTACCTCAGTACAAGTGTGTTTTACAGGTAAAAAGAAAGCCCTACTTTTCTTTAACTCGTGTATTTCTCTAAATTAGTGAATTCAAAAGGCTTTGCGATGTAAGTTTAACAGGATGTTGCAATTTCGGATGAATATTATTTAGAATTTAATACAATCTGACCAGGTGTAATCTTTTTAATGAGTTTGGTCCAAGCAGGAGGTATATATTAATTTATACTTCACCAATAATCAGAAGAACAATTTCATTTATTTCATTTATTTTTCATTCTTTTTTCAATTTGATATATGTTCCGGACCATATGAGTATTTGGACCATACGCGTATGGTCATGACCATATGCGTATACTCATATGGTCCGACCTTACGCGTATGGTCGGATCATATGAGTATATACTCTTTTGGCTATTTACGGGCCAAACCAAATGAGTATTTGGACCATATAGGTTTTTTTTTTAAACTAAGAGATAACTGTATTGTATTTAAAGCTTTGCGGACGTCCATCGGTAGTTTTACTGTCGCAAATATCCGTTTACCTGTGTCTGCTACGCGTCGCCAGGTAAACTCAATTTGCGACAGTAAAACTACCGATGGACGTCCGTAAAGCTTTAAATACAATATAGTTATTTCTATTCTAATGCAAAATAAACAAATCGTTGAATCTTAGTCATTATTTCAATGTAAAATTCATTAAACAAAAATTCCGCGAAATGATGTTATCTTCTTTGGCGCCTAAACTATGTGACGTCATAGGTAAGCTTCCGGCATCAAACGTAAACACCGGGCGTTTTCTGGCTTCTTGTCCGCTTCATAATGGAATAAAATTTGATAAAAAGAAATTTTGTAGGTGCAAAATGTAAGTTTTTTGGCTTATTATTGGAGAAATTACATGTCAATACATTCCGGAATTCAAAATGTCGGCTTCCTCAGTTACAGACAAGGAGATAGAGAATTTTACGTTTACTGTCATCCAATCAGAACCATTGATACAAAATAACTGCATTAGAGTATGCATTAGAAACGTTTCAATGTTACAATAAACGTTATATAAAAAACAATGATGGTTACATGAAAATGTATTAATTCTATAATTCAAAGGCTACATAAACATCAAAAATTGATGCCACAGTTAGTTTTCGTCGCTAATTGTATTCTTGCATGTATACTTAGAATGACATTTATTTCCACACAGTACCATAGCTATACTGCATTTGCACGATCTGTTGCAGTTACACCTTTTGCTTGCGAGGGAAATGCTAGCCTTCTTAGCAGATCGTTCTCCGAACCCAAAAAGGCACAAGTGACAAGGTGAAACCCTCTGTCTTTCACATATTGTCTAAATCTATGTGTATTTGTTTGATGTCCTTCTTTATTGTGAGTTATTAGACTCTTTATCCATTAAGTAAAACAGTTTACTTTTTGTGTAACATTTTATAAAGATATTTTTGGAAGTTATCTTCCCAAACCTTTGATTGCGTCTTTTTAGTGACGTGACAACTAGAAGGTCCTTCCTAACGAAGAGTTTTACATCATTAAAAGTAAACGTGTTAATTACCCCGACCATACGCGTACGTTCGGACCATACGCGTATGGTCCAGATACTCATATGGTCGGGAATATATATATTATATATAATATATCCCAAATTATAATAATAGATATATATCTTATGTAAGGTTAAGCAATTTAAGTGAATTTGGTGGCTGTTGTTACCTCATTAAAAAGATCATTATATAACTATTGTATGTAACCATGAAACTTATGTAGCTTTTGTTTAGTAATTTAGAAAATTAAGATTGAAAAAGAAAAAAAAAACACATGCCAGACAAGAAGCACCTAAATAAGGTTTCATTACCCTCAGTATAGATGTGGTTTTTAGGTTAAAGATGTTCTTTTAACAAAACTCTTAAAATTTGAAATTAATATTATTTAATTATTATATAAGATAATTTGATTTAACTATCTCCATTTGATAAATCTGAGAATCGTGTAAGAATGTAAAAATCTGCTTTTATGTATATCTTTATCTTATTGTAGCTGATGCCATGTCAGTTAAAAAGAAATTTATTTAAACAGTTAAGATTTTATTACAAAGAAGAGGTTATTTTGGTCAAGTATGGTTCAGACTGGTTGAGTATTGTTCAGACCTTTGGTCGAGTATGGTTGAGACTGAAAAAAATAGGTCAAGTACGGGTCGAGAATGGGTTAAGGTCAAGTGCAGTAAATGGGCTATGTCACATATTTTCTTTTCTTTAAAATTTTGCATACATCTTTGGTTCGTTGATCTGTATCTGAAAATCAAAAAAATTAAACCTTTATCTCTTTTTTCCCTTAAATATTACTAATTGAATTCTTTTAAAATAGATGGCCATTTGTATAGAAAGCACATGAAATCGGCGAAAAATGTTCTTAAATTTGTCTTTAAATTATCAAATTTCCATCCAATTTTTACTCCATAGATTTTTCTTAAAAAACTATATGTTGTTGATACAAAAATATACGTTTTAATGATGTAAAATAATAATATGGTCACCTACTTCGTTTTTACAGTATACATCAAGCAAAGTGGTTTACTTGGTGAAAAAATACACAAAAACGTCGAAATTATCGTAACGTCATCACGTTGAAGACCCTAAATTGTAGATTTTTGACGTTTTTTACTACAGACAAGGTAACGGATTTGTAAGTACAACAAAAACGAAGTAGGTGACTATATGATTATTTTATATCATTAAAACGGAAATTTATTTATCAACAACATATAGTTTTTTAAGATTTATGACCCATTCTGTGCCCTGTGAATTTTCAAACTGCAATAGTATCAAAACAGCAAAGATAATGAATGATAGAGATGGGCAATTCTGAACATGTACCAAGGGGAAACTTCGCACAAACTATTATCATTTAAAGTTTAATTGCATTTAGTAGAAAAAGAGAATTTGGTGAAAATAAAACCAAGATTTTTGTAGACAATCCACAGGCTTTAATAGAAAGATTTTTGTTATAAAATTTTAAACAGAGATTCCTCACTTGGTTTTCTATAATGTGCTAGCGTTTATTGTATACAAAAAGTCCTAAACAACCTTTAAATTCCAAAACGAGCGGACCCTAGAAGGTGTACTTGAATTGGTCCATATTTATATTTGTTTTAACCAATATCTAAATTTATAAACTTGTTTTAAGGAAATCATTGCTAGCACTGCATGCAATAATCCTCTATCTATCAAGCATCGAATTGTCAAATATGAGAATACAAGGGCAAAGGCTGTGAATTGTCTTTTAAATTTCTATATGTTTAGCATTGAATCAACACAAGGGTACATAATCCTTAAGAAAAATCTATGGAGTAAAAATATAACATTTGTTGATTTAAGGTAAATTTATGAATTTTTTTGTCGATTTTATGTGCAAATGAACACGAAGTTTACTTCTTAATTTACACAATCAGTTAACGCGAAAAGTAAACGCGCGTTGACTTTCAAGTGCACGTAAAAAACACTTGTGAAATCTGAAGTAATAATTTTGAAATTATTATTGACCTCACATTAGCAGAAAAATAACGACTTCAACCGCGTGTGAGGTAAACAATTTCCAAAGCCTACAATATTCTAAAGCTTGCAGCTGCTACTCTGATTTCGTAAAATGACATCGCTGTTTGAGTAAGAAAATTATTAGTTAAGGTGCAGATAACCTTTCGTCCTTTTTATGAATTAGTTCATCTGAAGATACCAAGACCTAATAGATACATATTTATAGTCAACTTCGCAAAACATTCGGGATAGTCATGAGTCAAAGGTTTTAGTCTAGGTGCTGACTTTGTCATTCATTTCATTTCCTTTGTTGTTTTCTGTTTACTTGTCTATATACTATTGTTTTCCTTTCGGTATTAGTGGCTCGGTATGTGTGCATTCAGCTTTCTTTGTTGTTGCTTTGTCTGTTTCTAATGCGGGTACGTCCCGAGGTTCGATATGGTCGCATGTAGTCTATTTACTATAGTTTTCATATAATATACCCTGGTATTTATATAATGAATAGTTTGAACATTAACGAGAAAGTGTGTATAAGTTTTCATTATGTTACACTACACAGTTCTGTTGGTTGATATAATCGATCGTTTTATTTTGTCAACCTATATTGACTCACCAACTAATCGAATTAACCTTGAAATTCAATACAGAATGAATGACAAAATAAAACTCTCGATTACATTATATCATCCTGTATGCTTAATACTTTGCTTTTGTTGTAGTTCAGTGTTTCTGTTGGTCCCTAATTCAATCAATCAGTAATTTTTCAGAAAATAAAAGAGATAAATGTATTATTTTTTCGATTATCAGATATAATTCAACGAGCCCAACTGATATGCAAAATTTTACCAAAATCTGTGACATAGCCCATTTACTGTTCCTTGACCTTAAGACTGTTTCAGACTGGTCGAGTAATAGTTCAGACTATTTTCAATGGCAAAGATTAGGGTCAAGTACAAATCAGTACAGTCGAGTATGGTTTAGACTGGGGTTGAGTAATATCGAGTAAAATTCAGACCAATTCAGACTGGTCGAGTAAAAATCAGTACAGTCGAGTACAGATATAGGCCATTTCAGACTTTTCCTGGTTTGTAGTGAATGGAATGTCTTTTTTACAAATTTCTCAACTAAATGTTATACAAGCCAATGGAAATGGAAAAAATCTAGCATCTGCAGAATCATTAATCCAAAATGTGTAACAGCAACATTTTGCAGCAGTCTGATATCTTACAGGTTTAAACAGGTAGCCAAACGATGTACAATCTTAATAGAGTACCTTACCTGCATTCCCGCTGTAACCGCTGACGGTCAATTTGTATTTGCTTGAAGCATCACCAACTAAAAAGTTTTTGTATTTAGCATATGCATGGTTTCCACTGAAGTCTTCTAAATTTATACTTAGTTGATATTTTCCACTTGACGTCAGACGATTTATTTTTTCATTACCTGAATAAAACAAGAAGAACATTTGCAATGAATTTTCGTGAATTCCAAGTGAAATAAAAACCGATAACTTCACATGTGAAATAAACTCGGTTATTTCACTCCTCTGACGTCTTAGAACAATAAGTGTTGTCAAGATGTTGTCGATGACGTCGCATCAAAGCAAATTCTAAATACTAAGAAAAAGATATAGTTTCCTACATTTTCTCCCATTAATAAGCCAATTGTCAATGTATTAATAAGAATAACTAATCAAAGAATTTAAATCTTGACAAATATTCAACTCGTGACCGAACAACACTGATAATTGTCTCATGCGCTTTGACCATTCGTGAATTAATGTAATTTTCGGTCACTCGTTGAATATTTTTCTATGTTTGAATTCTTAAAGTAGTTATTCTATAATAATCAATATTTTGTGTATTTTCCTTTGATCAATTTTGTGATAATTTTTCATATCGTGCTTTCTCGCTTGAGATAGAAAATATCGTCACAAACTAAGTGAGCACATGACGTTGCCAATGTAAACATCAATGACGTCATATGCAAAATAGCGATAAACAGATAATCAAAGCTCTATCAAACTCGAGGGTGTTTCTCCGCTACATCGCATCTCAAGGCTGTCGCCCTTTGGTGAGAGTGTAGCAGAGAAGCACTATCTAGTTTGACAGACCATCGATAATCTTTTTAATATTACACATGTATATCAGGTCATTATATATAGAGCAGATACGAGATATGTGTACATATTGCACTGTTATTAAATAAAACAGAGTTTTCCTATACAAAATGAAATTTCGTGAAGCGAATACAATTATTTCAACCCAAATTGTACCAGATAGTTATTGAATTTCAGGACAATTAGCACCTATAATATAAAAAGAAAGGCTACATAATTTTGAAACGGAAATTACACGAACTACAGCTTACAAAACACTAACAACAACATCAAAATATTATTTAACTGCCTGACTATTGACAAATATCATGATACGCATGACAAGTTAAAATGTATTGATAAGTGATATTCAGTGAAGACATCTTAATAAAAGAACGATTGTTGATACAAATGGCACATATCTTTGGTCATCTGTGAAGATAATCAAAATCATAATTGCTTCCATGAAACTCTCGATGAAATCACTTAATTTTTTGTAATCAACTGTTAACAGCAACAATGCATCTTGAATACAAAAAGATATAGGATATAACACCTGCGATACCTACTTTGTATGGGATGTATCCATTTTGCTTGTGTTTTGTTTTAACAAAAAGAAAATAACAGAAAAACCGAACTCCAAGAAAAGGTAAAACGAAAATTTCTTATCAAATGGCAAAATCAAAAGCTAAAATAAATCAAACGAATGAAAAACAAATGTAATATCTCTGACTTGGAACACGCATTTCCTTGTGTAGGAAATTGTAATTAAACCTGGTTTATTAGCTAGCTAAATCTTTCACTTGTATGGCAGTCGCATAGAATTCCATTATATTGACAGCAATGTGTGAGATAAACAAACAGACAGACATAATAGGTAAATATGTTAAAGATTGATATACAGCAGCCAACATTGTATTATAATGTTTATCACTATAAAAACAAACTATATCAACAAAGAAAAACAAAATATCATGTAGACACACTAAAGACAAAGCACATAAGCTAAAATTAAAGACACGAATATAAAAAATAATATAAAAAAATGACCTCAGCATAATAACACGATGTATAAATACAAAGTCACGCTAAAAGATTAAGCTACTCATTGGCATAGCAGTCTTTTTATCGTATAATATCATGAACATGTACCACATATCTTTTTTTGCATAGATATATATATATAAAGATAAATGATACGTTAGATTTCCTTGATTTGGATGGATATGATATTTAAAGCCTCCCGTACATTTCAGTTAAGTTTGTTTAAATCAATTTGCACAACGTCATTGTATTTCAACAATACTCAGGTCTTTAATTGGTAAAAGAAAAAGCAAATCATTGTGTTTCAAGATATCTGTTTTTTGTGGAAAAAAGGAGAAATATTGTATTCAATATATTTAATGTTAGAGTTAATGCGAATATTCTAACAAAAACAAAAACAAATATATGTATTTTACTTCAAACATATTTTAGTTCAAAAATTCATGTACATGACATATACATATAAATACAGTGATACATCAATACTAAGGGATTCGGAAACAAGGTTTCCCTCATATTAATCCGTCTCCCTGTCAAAAGAAAAAGAGAAATAACTGCAAATAAAAAGCTGATTTTTGTCGTCTGATCTTTCCTATATATACATATGTATTTTGCAATTTCAAAATGAAAAAAAAGAGAGAAAAAGAAAATACCGAGTGATAGTACGTGCTTCAAAGTATAGAAAAGTCAGTTGCTATGGGAAAGGCATTGGAAAATATAAGACATACTTATACTTTCTAAAAAGAGGAAAGTTTAACAAAATGTTATAATTACCTAACCAATATTCCGCGTTCATGTCACCAAAACCATTTTCATATTCCTTCCAACCACGATAGAAATCTGTTTTTCCATTCAGCCTACGCTGAATAACCTGTAAACAATATGTCTAATAAGTTATGGTGTAAATTATGTTGCCTTTTTTATCTGAAAATATTCAAAATTCTACAAATGAAAAAAACTGACGCAAGCAAATGTATCACAGAAATTCATGTCTGATGTCATGGAAAGGATATATTTTTTTTTCCTTTTGTATTGTTTGCAGCCATTGGAACGAATATTATTATAGTTTGCCTCAATCATGCCTGTACACATTAACGGTATCTTGTCGTATTATTAAAGATTCAAAAATGTTGCTGTTACATATACAAATAACAATCATTTTGCTCATGTGTTCCGTATGAATACCATCCGCTTATTTTAAGCTGGTGGAATATAGTGTCCTAAGGTGTCTATTTATTCAATCTATCGATCGTCTGTTCAAATGTGCCTCTAACTTTGTGGTATGGAACTGATCATGAACTCTCTTGCGTAATCATACATAGCTTCCTCTGAACTCTACTCCCAAAATAGATTTTTTTTTTTCATTTCTTCACTAGAATGATATTTGGATTAAACTTCAACATAGCATTGAAATATCACACATCTACAGCACACATTTATATCAATCTTTCTTCCTATACTTCTTATGAAAATATATTTAATCCTTACATGATTCCAAACTGTCCTATTGTGGGGTTTTACTTGCCAAATCATGGACCTTGAAAGTACTTTATTTGTAGGTACTATTTTTTATCATCTTATTTACCGCCATATTATTATTATTGAAAATATTTCCCAATAATGTACGTGCGTACCTGCTCTGTTGTTTGAGAAATATCTATAGAATGTGCCTATGCAAATAGAAGAATTTGTCCTTGCTTTGTATCAATACAAGGCAATTATTTGGGCCCTTAATACAGTGCTCTATGAATGAATGTCGATTTTATATGTTTTATTCATATGTTAATACGGAAAGAACTAAGAATTAAAAAACAAGAAACAATTTAGTAAACTGAAAGCGAACCGAATTTTGTCGTTTAGGAGTCATTACTATGAGATAATAGCAAATGACAAACTCCAAGATTGAATATCATAATAGTGTATCGACAAAAAATTTCCTTATATTTTTTAAGTTTTAAATACTCACAGTCCAATAACCGCCATCAGTCTCCATGTCACAATAAACTTGAAAGCTAGAACCACTGTCCGGGAAAATTGTATCAACACCACTCTTATACACTGTTTTATCTAATCCCGAGCAATCCTTTGGTTTCAATTCTAAGTTTTAAAGAAAGAATTAAATTTATATCTATGCTTAATTTTGAATTGGACATATTTGTACGTGTTACATTCGTATCTGAATATGTACTGACAATACATTACATTATAATTGTTGTCAACATTGATATGGGCTTACCATCAACAAAACTTTAAACAATCATTTCATAAGATCGTCACATTTTTTGGAAAACATCACATCACACGTAAAGCATTTGGAATATGAAACACATCATATTCTTCCACAAAACATTTTTGGACGTCAATTTATCTTTCTGTTTTCGGTATTTTAAGCGTATATAAGATTGTTCATAATCTTAATCTTGTTATTTGTTAAAATTTCGAAACCTAATACGATTCGAATATACTTTATATTCTAATAAAAACTTAGTTATAATATATTGATAGTGTTTGCATAAAGTTTCACAATATGAGACATTTTTAAATATCTTTTTAAATCTGTTTTGCAGTTCACAAATTTTATCGTTTGACAGAGAGCGATGAAAGTGCTTTTTTTTGTAAAAAAATTAACAGTAAACGTTTAAAAATGCATTTTTTTATACTTCACCTTTACACTGCGTCTCTTCTTGAGACATACTTAAAATAGTAAATAGAATTTAGTGCTGGCATTCTACTGGTTCCTAAAATTATTTTAATGTTTCATCTAGTAGATATGAAAATAAAAAGATGTGGTTTGATTTCCAATGAGACAACTCTCCACCAGAGACCAAATGATTTAGAAGGTCACCGCACGGCCTTCAATAATGCATAGTCAGCTATAGAAGGCCCCGAAAAGACAAATGTAAAACAATTCAAACGAGAAAACTAACAGCCTGATTCATGTACAAAACAATAATCGAAAACCAAGCAACTGACGACAACCACTGAATAACTGGTTCCTGACATGGGACAGGCGCTTACAGAATGTGGCGGATTTAACATGTTTAAAGGCGCCAATCCTCCCCCTTACCTGGGACAGTGGTGTAACAGGACAACACAAAAAGATTCTATTTATAAAAATAAACGAAAAACAAATATGACAAACAGCAACAAACGAAAACTAATCAATTATAGGCTCCTGAATTTGGATGGCACTTTCAAAGTATGGTTGAGTTAACCATTTTTGCTTGCGCAAAACCGCTCCTTACCTGGGATAGTGGTATAACAGTACAACATAAAACAAAATATAAAACGACATTGCATAAGTTATGATCACCCTCATTGATTGACCGGTACGATGTATCAGTGTTTCAACTCACCAGCCATGTGTTTTAACGGCCTAAGATCTTTACATACCTGTTTTGTCGTCTGATATGTACGTTAACCGATTTTGACGATTTGACAGAGTATGAGTTTGCATGGAGGGTGACGCATGTATAGCAGGAGCCGCTTACCATGTCGACACACACTGTCTCGCTCCTTTTGGAGTTAACTTGATTCCCACAAATATATTTTGTGTATTACCCTGATTTATCTCTTCTTTGCAAGTTTTTAGCATCGATCAACAACCTTCGCTTTAATCTATCCTAATGTACTTATGTAAAATCGTAAAATCGAAAATCAAATATTGCGCACTTCATTTTGTCTTATTAACAAAACCAGGTTCTTTTTCGAACAAAACAAATGGTACGCGTTAATGACATCACGATAAATCTTGCAACGGCTCTTGTAGATTGAAAGACGCTAAAAATCAATATGTTTACTTGTATACGAGTTTTTCAATCTGACATAAAATCATTTGCAGTCTCTTTGTGATTTGGCACAGTTTTCGTAATTTTTAATGATTTTCTTTCTAACATCACTTTTGCTTTGAACTAAAGATGTTCTTAATCATGTTAATTGCCTTTTTAGATCGTCTTGAACATGTGTTGTAGACTTGGAGATATAAAAGTAGGTTTATTGATTGAGTTTGGGAAGATCTTCTTTGATGCAATTGATTTGAGCGCTACTTTTTTTATCCGACTTTGTCGCTGCCAGCATCTACTACTGGTACCCACGGGTGTATGTATAAGTGCCTGGCAGTTCGATATAGCCATGAGAGCTGGCCAGGTCATGTGACATACAGAGAACTGGTCAGTGAGTTTCCGGGTGAAAGTCGCAGGGTAGACCTGTGAGCTGCTTGGATGACGGTACGCAGCCCGACAAAAATATACATGAGAAGAGTGTTGTAGACTTGGAGAAATAAAGGTTGTCTAACTGGTTGAGTTAGTGAAGATCTTTTTTTGGCTCAATTGGTCAGAGCGCTACTTTTTTATCCCGAGTTTGAGGGTTCGAATCCCGCTGTTACCATTCATGGATTTTTACACCATATGCATAAAATATTTTGGTCATGACGTTGTCAGTTTATTTTCGACTCATGAGTTTGAATATTCCTCTTTTATCTTTCTATCTCCTCTCTTTTGTACTGGACTTTAAACAACCAACAATCAATCAATCAATCCTTTCGGAATTAAAATATTGAGGCAAAAATGGTTTATCGGAGAATTTAACCACCAAAAATACTCGGGATTACGCTTTAACCAAAACAAAATTACCAATTTTAAACTCTACAATAAACCATGGCCGCTATGATTTATTTTCTGAATTATCCCTCTTTATATGATGTTGGGTATCAGTCCTTGTGGTTCCAATCAAAAGAATTAATAAACCAAAAGACACCTAGAAGTCAATTTAGTTCATCACAGTGACTGTTAAGGCCTCTATCGTCCTTAGACTAACAAAATGTATATAAAATATTGGTATAGCGATAAAACAATCAATTACGAGGTTCCAGACTTATGTTTGGTTTTTGACTTGGATTTGTTTTCGCTTAATCGATTCATGACAATTGAACAGCGGTATACTACTGTTGGCTTTATTAATGACACACATATGAATATGTGGCAGTGTTCAACTTTATTTTGTCAGATCTAAACCGTCCTTTTTTAATCACATTAGTGAACATGTAAAATGTACCAACAAGAAATACTTTAAAATTCCTATAGAAATATCAAAATGCCCTTTTTAAGAAAAACGATGTAATACGTGTAGTTTTGATTCAAATTAGTGAGTTGATTTTTATCGCAAAACATACCAGACAATTGGATTAAGAACATTGGTTCAATGATTACTTTTATAAATAAGTATATTCAGTGATAAAGAAATACATTGAAATATATCGTCTTAATTGTTTCGACCTATCAATTACCGAATATGTTTTATCCTAGAATATACTAGACGCAGTGATTGCGCAACATCAAGTTGAAGTTTACCCTTTTTCAATAAGTGTTCTTGTCAAAAGAAAGAATAGATGAAGTAAAAATGCTACCGTGAAAGGATGGATGCTAGATACTTTGTATTAAATTACTACAGAAGAAATGACACGTTTTCAGGTTCATGTTGGTGATAAAGCTTTTTAAGTATTCAATTATATGTACATTCTTTAATGTTTTGAAAGTTTTAAAACTCGATACTTTCTGTTGGAGCTAAAGCTAAATAAAACGTGTAAGTTTAGTGTTATTTTAATTTTCATCAAAATATCATGTTATCCATTCGTTTGATGCGTTTTAGCTTTTGATTTTACCATTTGATTTGGGACTTTCCGTTGTCAATTTTCCTCTGAGTTCAGTATTTATGTGATTTACCTTTTACATAAGCGCTTTGTTAAATCTAACTTAAGACAATTACTCTATACACTTAGTGTATTAGTTTCTTTTCGCGAATAGTTTATTTCCAACACTCATATTGCTATAAATGTCAGTATTTAAACCAGAAAAATCGATCATTCAAAAATACAGAATTATCGTCATCGATATTAAATGAATGTATATCTATAATTTTTAAACAAGTATTCACATTATCAGACACGACACACATTGTATTATTTATCACTAAATACTAGTATATGATAGTGCATCAAAATAATGAAGTATGAAATAAAACACATTCAATTGAAACGCCTACTTTTCTGTGTAAAACATAATAAATACCTTGGCAACGCCTTCCTTGATATTTTGGTTTACATGAACAGGCACCATTAATAGGTTGACATATGCCAGAGACTGATCCCCTGTGGTCGCAGTTACAAGGTTGGCATTTAATACCAATGGAGCATTTTGAACTGTCTTTACACTCAAATGTACCATTACAACATCGGTTGAAACATGTTCTGTTCTCCACCTTATAACCTTCACAATACGTCCCTTGTCCCTTCTGTGATAAAACTATGTATCTAGATCGTTTTTGTTTCCCTCCAATTCCACATGCTGTGGTACAATCAGACCAGGATGCCCAGTCACTCCATTTACAGTCTTGCTTTATTTCAATATCACAATTCCTTCCAAGAAAATCCTCTCTGCACTGGCACTGCCCAGTTTCTGAATTACATAATGGTGATACTGATCCCGTATTGTTACAACTGCAGGGTAAACAATCAGATGTTATATTTTTGCAACTGATATATCGAGTTCCTTTGCGAGCATACCCTTTAATGCACTTATTTTCAATGTCCATATTCTTTACTAGATGGAATTGATCACAATGCACATTTAGAGAATGTGTTATTGATGCACTGCAGGTCGATTCCGTTGCAGATTTTATCTGTTCCTTAACGCGCTCCTCAAATAAGCTTAAAACCATAGGTGAATGTTTACGTAAAACATGCCGAACTTGTAATAAGACGGCAAACCCATTTGCCTGTGCAAGATGAAACTGTCGCCATAAATTGTCTACCTTTGCTTTGAAATTGGATGTGCAAGCCTCGTTCTTATTTCGAATGATGACCCTTGTAAGTAAAGATTCAGGTTGAAATATATCGTCAACTCTTCGATAATTAAAGTAAGAGTTTATTTTGAATAATGCCTTAGGCAAATGATACGCAATTTGCATTAATTTCGATTTGGCATACCCATTTTTTAACTTGTTATAACACTTAATCAATTTGCTCGCATCTTTTATCAAGTAGAGCATACTAAGGTATGTATTATAAAAGGGTCCAAGATCAGAAGTTGTCAAAGCGTCTT